GAGAAACACAATTCCTTAAGGATTTCTGCTTAGTTGTAAAGACATGTCGTAGAATGCAAATTTTAGATTCCCCATGTCCCTTCTTTTATCAACGTCTATTTGCCTTGCAATTTTTAGGAGGCTCAGATTATAAGCAAAAATCTGAATTGTGTTTCGAAACTATTTTACGGATTTTATTATCTTAAATACTTTTATTTCTCCCATCAGGAAGCAATGCTTTATCAACACGTGAAATTAAGATTTGTTTTGAAAATGGAAAAATTAGCATAAATTAAACCATTGTAACCTGTAAATAATGATCCGATTAAGTTCAAATTTTAAAAGGTGAAGTTTTAATGTATATCGATTATAAAATTAATTGTATTTGTAGCGCCGTATGTATTTCGGTTGTCCCGGTATAATTTTATGATAAACTTCCTTTCTGGCCCAGCTGATAGTAAGGACCCCCCTTGTCCAGGGTTACGCACGAAGAACACAAACGAGGGAAAGGTGAAACAGTTTGGTGATCAACAGCATATAGATGCACAAGTCTAGGGGAAACAATCGCATTCACGTGAACATCCCAAGAGAAAAAAATTGCGGGTCATTAAAAGATTTCGTGCTCTAATCCATAGATCGTTAAGGGGTGCTAAGAATCCCCCACGAATAAAGGTAGGCACTTCACAAAAATAGAAAATAAAATAAGAATATGATCAAAATATTAGAGACAACATTAGAGAAACGAGGAATGAAAATAAACATTTTAGGTGTTAGTTAAGTAAGATGGTTCGGAGTAGGACAAATTGGAATTGATGACTGTACAATTTTTTATCCTGGTAACAGCAATCCAAAACAACAATAAAAGGGAAAAAAGAATTGGTGCACTAAACTCACTACTCTGGTCACAAACTATCTCTAAATAGAAACAGATTCAGCTATACAGTAGGGCTATATAAGTATGGGTGCGAAACATGGCTGCTCACTAAGAGAACGGAAGAAAACCTTCTTGTTCTGAAAATGGATTTTTGGCGCAGATCAGTAGGTAAATGACTCATGAAACAAATGAAAGAATACGACAAATCATGTAGAGAACAACCACCATCATAGAAGAAATACAGCAAAATCAGGTTGTTTTGTACGGGCATGTACAGAAAATTAACAGACCATCATATTAGATTGGCAGCCATCTGAGCAAAATAACGAAGAAGATCGAAAACAACATTGGTTGTTTTGCTCCAACTAATTGGAGTCTAAAAGGCAATGTTAGAGAAAGATCTACGACCAGGGGACCAGGTCGATAGACGTGAATGTAGTCTTGAAACCGGAAGACGCAGCAAGGTACAAACCGGACTTATATATAACAATAATCCTCAACACTACAGTAGTATCGCAATAACATTGGGACAAAAATATGTAAAATCTTTTAAAAATGTGTTGCTGTCCGAAACATACAAACATCGTTAAAGTTTATTTGTCCACTGCAGGCGACCTGAAAATGAAATACACCTCTTTTAGAAGGACCTACAATCCGTTTTAAAAATAATCGGAAGTTAATTTAGTTATAGGTGACTTTAATGCGGGGGTAAGAAATGGAAGAATCATGGGAAGAGGTATGAACCATAAATATGTTCTCGGCATACAAAATGAGAGGGGGGATATTTTGGTGCAGTTATCTAATGAAGAAAGTTTCATTATCAGTTGGCGCTACAGCTCTGTGTGAGCACTGGCCTGCCTCAAAACATTCTTCCCTGTCGAGTGTCTGTCTTCTCCATCCCGTTACTCAAATCTCCCTTAAATACCACCTGCGAATCAAAGCAGACTAAGGTATGGTAAACCAAAAATAAGAGTCCCTTATCCTTCTAGTCTGGGGTTTAGGCTTAGGGCTAACGACCCTACCCTGGAAAAAAAGCATTGTTACGAGAGCTGCAAAAAACAGAAACCGGACGAAGAAAGTTTATTGCTATCAAATACATGATTCCAACTCCAAAGAAAATCGGTTGTATACAGTCAGCAGTCAGGTGACAATCAGCAAAATATGTTGAGAAACGAAATTGACTCTACTGGTTGACAGCCGAAATAGTAATGTAATCAGAGGCAGTAGAAACATATTCTGGTTATGATATTGGATCTAACCATAATCTCGAGGTTAGAAAACTTAACTTAAGATTAAAAAATGTCATAAAAAATCCAAGATTTTTAGAAACTAAAAGAACCAGTAACAAAATAGAACACAATACGCTTGCTACACGTTGTTAAATGCCAAAATTAAGGAAACTATGCAATTGGACAAACCAATAGAAAAAGAAGATACTTGGTAATCTTTCAAAAACGCTAGAAGTATATGAAGTACAGAAAAGTGAACAGGGAGCTAGAGAAAGTTTACAAGATTAATTAAAGAAGCAAAGGAAAGTTGGATGGAAAAATAGTGTCAGCAACTTAGTCAGTTACAAAATAAGCATGATCATTTTAGTATACACAAGAAATTGAACACTTCCGTTCAAATATCTAAAAAACTATCGCCCTATCAGTTTGATATCACATATATAAACTTTTCACAAAAATTATCAAAAAAAGACTGGGCGCTAAGTTGATCAGCCTAGAGGACAAGCTGGATTTAGATCGGGATACAGCACTAACGACCACTAGTAATAAGGAACCTGATAGAGAAGTCTGCAGAATACAACAAACCATTGGCACTGATATTCGTGGATTAAAGAAAGCATTCGATACCATAAGCTTCTGATAATCGATCAGAAAATGTTAAAAGTATTGAGGAAAGGCCGAACAGACCATTGCCATACTAACATAATCAAATATATCTACCAAAATGCCACAGCTAGCGTAAGACGATCTGAACAAGAAACAAATAAATTCTGTATACAGCGAGGAGTACGACAAGGAGACACCGTCTGTCCAAAGATTTTAGAACATACTTGTAAGAAGGCAAATCTGAACGAGCATGGTATCAACATAAATGGAGAGAAGTTCAGTAATTTGAGATTTGTAGATGACATTCTCCTTATAACCAATCGTATGGATGATGCAATGTTGGAAAGTTATGCAAATCTGGTGCTAAATCGAAATATTGCTGTAGATGGAAGAACATTCTGAAAATTGCAATTGTATAGGTACTTGGGACAACAAATTCGGTTGGGCAGAGATAACCAGACGTGTGAGCTCTCACGTCGCATTGGATTAGCCTGTGAACAAGAACAAGAAGCACTATGGAGTAGAGTACGCCCACCAGCCAGATTGACTGACAACTTGAAACGTGTTAGTAGTAACTGGATGCAAGCCGCACAAGACAGAGACAGATGGAAAGAGCTGAGGGAGACATATGTCCAGCAGTGGGCGCATGCAGTTTGATGATGATGAAGAAAGTGAAAGAAGTGGCAGGAGTTAGAAGAACAGGTATGCGTTCCGTATCTTAACTACGGGTGATAACAAACGAACAATGGACAATATATATATATCATTATTATTTGATGATAATAGAGCGGACGTAACACCACTAACTACAAATCAGGAAGATCAGCTGATGGAAATTCTCTATCAGAGGTAAAGCATGCAATAAACTTATCAAAAACTTCTAAAGCCCCTGGTGAAAATAATGTATTATTCAGATGCTTAAATACTAGATGATGACCGTCTTGGATTCCTAACAACATTCTTAAATCAGATATACTGCTTAGGAATCTCTTTGAAAGACTGGTTTCAGTCGCTGGGAGTTTATATCCATACCTAAAAAGAGTGGAGCAATTAAGTGCTCACAATATAGATTAATTTTCGTTTCCATTTGGATTTTGATACGAGAGAAGCACTGCTTTATGGAAGTCACCAAAAATGAGATCTAGGGGATTCATATATTAAATCTGTTAAGTATATACTGTATGTATATACATCAGACTGTCAAAATATAAGGACCTATAAATTAGCATAATAGCAAACCAACCAGAAGTTGAGACAAACCGACAAGTCAATAGTTACCAGAACAGCTTTCAATTGATCAAGACTGAAAGTATTTATTATCCAATACCATATTTCCCAGAAATGATGTAGGAACATCACTACTACGATTGTAAATCTCAAAACTTTACCTTAAATATATTTCTCTAGAAAGATCAAATCTAGGCAGTCGAGTCGAAATATACCAATACACCAATATACCAATACAACAAGCCATTGCGGTACCAGGTGATGCGATTAACTGTTTTTACGAGGGAATAAGTATTTTAATGGTATAAAAAGTATTAAAGGCATACATTAAAGTTTGCCTTGAAAATTATTGTGTCAAACAGGAAATTTACTTTTAAGTAATGACTAATTTAAAGAATGTTGTTACGGTTTGAACAGTGGCGTACTTAATACAATTATTACGGGTAATTAAAATATTGTATGAGTTTTATCATGTAAACATTTAACAGTCTTTCGCATCCTCTATCCTTCATCCCTGAGGACAAGGTGTTAAAATAGTACGACGATCGGGAAAACTGCAGAAGTGTGTAATGAATACCTCAACTCATTGTTTTACACTTGTGTACATTTTATTGAAAAAAACACGTTTTAAATATTTTTTTTGTCTACTTACAATCATGGGAAAAGGAACTTAGTGCAGCTAAAGCAAAAGGCAATCAAAAAGGTTATTAAAATGCAAAAAGAGTCTTTAAGCTTCACGAAACTGAATTCACAGTAATGACAGGTATTTTGACTGAGTACTTGTCACCCAGGTATCATCTAGCTAAAATATGCAAAGTGGACAGAACAATATGCAGATTCTGCGAAAATTGTCTGCAGACGAAAGGCAGTTATTAGTTTCAACGCCATAAATACTTGGAATATATCTATTTAGAATCTGATCAGATAACAAGCGTACCTCTGAAACGGATATAGGCAAGTGGCCGATTTGAAATATTTATATTTATTTATAAAAATTTGATTTGTATTTTGAGAACGATCTCCGAAGTGGTATTATTAGTGGAAGGGATTATCCCGTTATTAAATAAGGTATTTGTTATTTTTAGGTAAAGATGTACCAGATAGTAGTAAAGCGGGAAATAGTTCCAAAGAAAATGACAGGCATCATGTGGAGATTCATCAAGCCACTAGCAGAACATCGGTATATACTACAAGTACTAAGGTAAATATTAAATATAGTAATGACCTTCCATTTGCTACTTCTGTCTGTATACGAATCTTTCATACTAGGTCAGTGAAAGCTTTGAGAAGAGTTATGGTCAATATCAAAATGAGAAGTTCCAATTGGAGGAATATTAAATAATGATTTCCTTGAATAAAAAAGAGAGTACAGCTTCTTTCGAAGTCGAATCATTCAACAACGCGACATTTCACAGGTCGTTCAAATAAGTTGCTTTTTGAACATCCAAAACATCGAATTGATAGAATATCCGACCTGTAAACCTGATTTGGAATCAAGTGACTTCTTTTTAAAAGACAAAAAAAAATGAAGTGTGTAGTGAAGTATCTAAAGAAGCAGTTTACGTATTTAAAACCCATTTAATAGATGTAGCCCGTTAGGAAAAAATGTTTGGTTTATTGGTTCCAACGAAATTAAAAGTTTATCGCTCTCCATAGAGAGTATTTTGAAAAACAACAAATCTATTTTCGATTATAAATATTTATTAATAAACCATATAATTAAAATGTTTCGACTAATCCGTATCACTTGCTAAACATTTACAATGTTTCCATAAACGTCCAATTTGGTATACAACATTAAGCAAATATTGAAACTATCATTCTAGGAGATAACGTAATCTGCTTGACTCCACGATAAACACAATCTTGTCTGTTTGCAAGGATTATGACATATTTATATTAACTGAATACACTGAATAGTACAATCGATACAAGCATCGAGGGAGAAGACGTAGAATCTTTATTTGGACATTTTCGACGTATATGTTGTTTACTATTGAAATGTTAACTCATATAATATATATATATATATATATATATATATATATATATATATATATATATGTATATATATATATATATATATATACACATATATACACTACATTTTTTAAAGAATTTTTTATTCAAATCACTTTAATAATGCTACCTAGAGTCAAAATCAAAGCTTAAATAATTATCAAATAGTTGGAAGTGAATCCATGATATTCTTAGTTCTTTTTCACTGCTTAATATAAAATAAAATATTACTTATACTTTAGACCACATGTTCTGTTGCTGTGCTAATTTTTTAATAGGTTGCTAAATGTTGTTAGTTAATTGATTGTTTATACAATATTACCGTATAATGTCCATTTACTTGAGTTTTACTCACAAATTTGTTAATATCATTGACTGCTACATGTCTTTTTAAGGTAACATGTAACAATGTAATTAGTTGTTCTTAATATTGTATTTCTTTACAAGAAACAACTTAATGGTATGCAACATGTTATGCATACATGTGTATTATGGTGTGTATATGTAGAGGTATATATATATATATATATATATATATATATATATATATATATATATATATATATATATATATTTAGAAAATATTATTGGGTTTCGGTTATTCTAAAATTTGAGGAAAAACAGTTTTTTGTCATAGATAATTAAAAACTTACCATAAAATGCAAATTCATTATAAGTTAAAGTTAAAATCCAATAACAACAATAATACATTTACAAATTTATGCATACATGACGCGAACGTTATACAAACATTAATTTAAAATTCTAAAATACCTGGTTGATTACGTTAAGATTATTTTTTTACTGATAAGAAAAGTTTTTGGTAGACCAAATATTTTCATCCTGTTTACTGTCAAACGATTTATGTCTTCTATTGCCGTGTATTGTATTATTACAACAAAGAGTCAATGTATATATATATATATATATATATATATATATATATATATATATATATAATCACTAGGTTCTCGGGAAGAACCGCGTTGAGAATTTAATGCTCGTGGTTTCGGCTCCCATTTTGGAGCCATTATCAAGAGGGATACGGTTCGGTTCAAGTTCAGGGTCTCAATCTGCCTACTCCCCTCACTCGAAACGTACCAGTATCGTGTTCTGTATTATAAATACAAGAACAGTCTCTCGGCACTGAGGTCTCAATCTGCCTACTCCTCAGTGTCGAGTGACAATATATATATATATATATATATATATATATATATATATATATATATATATGGTCAAGCATATAAAACGTAATAATTGATACATCTTGAAGTTTAAATGTTGTATTATTTCTCGCGAAGTATCCCTTCATTTGAGCCCAAATTAGTTCTATGTGGTTAATTAAGTTCACAGTGATAAGGTGGGAATCTCAACACTTTAACTCAATGTTCTTTTGCTATTTCAACTACACTATACTTCTTAAATTTTGTTGAATATTGTTTGCATAGATGCAATAACTCTTTTTTGAGTAAACCTTTTGCTGGCACTAATTTTAGAGTTCAATCCAAGAGTTCTTGTTGTCTCCATTTAGTATTAGGTAACGGTTCCTTTAATCTTGAATGGTATCCATGACTAGTACAGAATTGTTCACTAATAAATTTATCATTTGACTGAAGTATTCCTCAAAAACATCAGCAGTCATTTCTTCACGGTAGTCGTTCTCCTCCAATATGACTGATAATTAAACGACGACCTTTACCAATTGGAAATTTTGAGCCCGTAGACAAACCTATCTTGAGAACTTTTTTTACAAAAAGCTCTTCATTTATCCATGTTTCATATAAATAAAAAAAATTTTGCCGTCTCTCCTCAATATTAGAATTTCCCTTAAATGTTCCATCCTCCAACAAATAATTTCTTCTTTCTCTATGAGCGCAGATTTTCTATTGTCATTTTCATAAACGAATCCTAATTCACTTAAAGTTTCCACAATTTATCTCTTTTAATATTTGGAAAAGATTTGTCTTCATTAATATCTACTAAAAGTTTATCAAAGTAGGAATGTTTTTTTTGTAAATAAAATGAACGAACTTTCATGTATGTATATGTACATAAAATATCTAATTGCAAAAAAATTAGAGCTTCTAGAAAAAAATCGATTTCAGATTTGAATTCAGAGATTACCAAATACCTCAAATTAGTTACAAAATTTTATGCAACAGAACCAAATTTTGTACATTTTTTACAATGTTTTTACAATATTTCATATTGTGAAACGATACCTGTATTATACGGCTTAAAAATTAATCAGTTGATCAATACCATTTTTGTAATTTAATATTTGGCAAAACTCCTGTATTATATTCTAGGAGGCATATTGATAACCCCATTGGTATGCCAGATGGCACCTAATTAATAGCGGATATAAAGTGATCGGGTATACTTAAATTATCAAGCTACTTAAATTACATAAAAAGACGAAGTATATGGCTTTAATGAATAATATAAGCAACAGTCAAATTAATACAAAAAATACTAATAATTTATTCTTTTGAAGTAGTAGTCCGTCTAATCTAAAGCGTCTTTGAAATCAATCGTTTATAAGTAATTAATTTTAAAAACAATTTTTTTGTTTTATTTTTTTTTTAATTCACGACAACCAAGATTGGGAAAGAGAAGTTTTCGTTATGTTATGACGTCTCTGCTCCATTCTCGTGGCGAAAAATGTATTAAAAATATTATACTTGATTGTTACAGTGCAGAAGAGTGAGCGAGATAAATGATCAAAGAGTCATTATACGCACGATAATATATTAATATTATTACATATTACTATATATTAAATTGCAGAAAAATATTGAGTTATAGCTTTTATGAAATCCGAATTTTTGGTTAGGCAAACACGTACTTTCGAAAAGTTCTTTCTTACAAAAATGAGTACTTAACTACACGGATATTTCCGACGAACAATACTTTTCAAAAGTTCAAAAGTCTTTCCAAAAGTTACTGCTTAATTTATTTTAAGTTAATAAATTATCCCATACACGTGACACCACTGCAACTATTTTAAATAAAACGAGCGGTTCTAACTTATAAAACTATTTATACAGGGTGAGTCATGAGGAACTTTACATACTTCTACCATATGTAGAGTCCCTCAGGGAGCATATCATGTGGCCACTAAAAAATGTCAACTCCTCTTCTTTATTAATTAACAGGGTGATTTGTGTGATTGACCATTTATTTCATTTTACTGTAGTGTTTATACGGCTCATTTGATTTTTTTAATTTTTGCATGATGCAGTACACTACTATCAAGCATTCGACTGGTATTAGCTAAACTAAAAAATTCCAGGACTGGCTTTGGAAAAATTAATTTAGGGATTCGTATTAAATATTACACCCTGTATATATATATTTTTTAAAATGCAATAAGTGATTTTCAAACTACATAAATAGCCAATGAAAACGACATATGCGACAATGTTGTCGCACTTTTATTAAATTTTTAGTGAACGATCAAATCTTACCAAAAATAGAACAACCATAATGAAGTATCAAATTATAAGGTATTAATTTAAACAAATGTTATAAATTTCAAACATTTTAATTAAAATGAGTTCCTACAACATAATCTAATACGTAGAAAATTAACATCTTTACTGTCACTTTGTATTATCTCTACGATAGAATCAATTGTTTTTCAATTTTAAATTTTTACTCATAGATCGTATTGGGGCATTATTTTCGATAAGTAATAAATTAAATTGATTAAAAAGTCAAACCTCTTGTATGTGTTAGTTTTTGTTGATTGTAAATGATTAAAATTTTATGTCAAATAATAATACATTGCATCAACTGTACTAAATAAAAATAAATCTAAAAAAGTTTAAAATGAAGGTTGGCGTTGACCGTTTGACGTTTCTTGATATTTTATACCCATTGTCATTATTGTCATTATCAATTGGTATTTTACATATTTCTTCTGTCATATCTACGTTAAGTACATTGTGTTAGTTTTGGTAGAGCTTTTGTTACTTTCGTTCAAAATGCCACATCAGTTTTCGACCACAGAATATGCAGACATAATATTTGTTTATGGATTCTGTAATGGGAATGGTAGGGCTGCTAGTAGAGAATATCGCAGGAGATTTCCTAATCGTCGAACTCCCAGTCATCCAACATTTGGGTTAGTTTTAAATTATTGGCGAGAAAATGGCACACTTCCTAGTGGAACAACAGAGCGACATGTAGATGAAGCGCAGGAAGATGACATTATGGACGCCGTTACTATGAACCCTACAATAATCACTAGACAAGTAAGTCGAGAACTCAATGTTACTCAATCAAAGGTAAGTAGAGTCTTACAAAAAAATAATCTATACCCATATCACATTCAAATGGTTCAGCGACTACATGTTGGAGATGAGATCGATAGGTTGGAATTTTGTTGATGGATTAACAATAATCGACCAACGCTATACAGGACACTATTTACAGATGAAGCCCAATTTACCAGAGACGGGATAAATAATTCACGAAATTCACATGTGTGGGCAGAAGAAAATCCCCATGCTATTCGAGAACGTCGTTCTCAGTTAAGGTTTTCGGTTAACGTGTGGATTGGTGTCATAAATAACCAATTAGTAGGTCCTCACTTTTTTGATGGTCCTTTAACAGGGCAGGTCTATTTGAACTTTCTACAAAATATTTTGCCGAATTTGCTTGCCAACGCGAACGTTGCTATCCGAGGGATGTATTTTCAGCATGATGGGGCACCCCCACACTTTTTACTGGCAGTGAGACAACATCTCAATAATGTTTATGGCAACAGGTGGATAGGACGTGCAGGTCCTATTTCGTGGCCTTCAAGATCCCCTGATTTCAATCCCGTTGATTACCATATTTGGGGACGATTGAAGCAACTAGTTTACGCAGTGAATATTAATAACCGACAACAATTAATTGATAGAATTATACATTGTTGTAATACTATTAGAAACGATCCCCAGAGTATCCGTAATTCAATACGTCAATTAACAATTCGGCAACAAAAATGTGTACAGGCTGCAGGGTTCCATTTCGAAAATCTATTTTGAATTATTTTTATTTTGTTACCATTATTGTATCTTTTCCAGTTCTAATTTATGGGTTTATCATAACTATGTACATATTTTTAGTTTTTTTTTTTAATTGTTTTTCGTTATTGTTAGTAGTTACTGTTTTTTGTTGTGCAGTGACTCAGTTTATCATTTCAATTAATATGTTTGAAATTTATAACATTTGTTTAAATTAATTACCTTATAATTTGATACTTCATTATGGTTGTTCTATTTTTGGTAAGATTTGATCGTTCACTAAAAATTTAATAAAAGTGCGACAACATTGTCGCATATGTCGTTTTCATTGGCTATTTATTTAGTTTGAAAATCACTTATTGCATTTTAAAAAAAATATATACAGGGTGTAATATTTAATACGAATCCCTAAATTAATTTTTCCAAAGCCAGTCCTGGATTTTTTTAGTTTAGCTAATACCAGTCGAATGCTTGATAGTAGTGTACTGTATCATGCAAAAATTAAAAAAATCAAATGAGCCGTATAAACACTACAGTAAAATGAAATAAATGGTCAATTACACAAATCACCCTGTTAATTAATAAAGAAGAGGAGTTGACATTTTTTAGTGGCCACATGATATGCTCCCTGAGGGACTCTACATATGGTAGAAGTATGTAAAGTTCCTCATGACTCACCCTGTATAACACGATATTAGTGTTGTATAAATATTTCGTGTAACATCAAAACGAAGTACAAACAATAAAAATTACGAGCGAACTTAAACAAAATTGGCAAATATCGAGCATTATGCCCTAGAGCATCAATAACCGTTTGCATACGATTTGGAAGGGAAAGGAACACATTTTAAGGCTGTTTTATCGGTGCACCAAAATTTTTTCTCTGTTATTTACCGACGAAATGTCTCGAAATTTGGACATGTTATACGAAATTATGTTGCCTTTAAACTGATGGTTTTACTTTTTTTATTTTTTTGAATTTTCTGTTGAAAAATTGGATTATACTGTTTAACGTTCTATTATAACCAAACTTTTCACGCCCATCAGTTGAAAGAGTTTTTTTTTCTGTAATCGTTGATTCTTTTTTCACCTTTCTGTGTCCAGTAATAATCGAGAAAAGCGTATTCAAACTTTGAAGAAAATTGCTAAAAAATACTGAAATCTAATAGTGAAACGTGTTCCTCATCATTGTCGCTGAGGTTGATCGTTATCGCATTAGTGACGTCAAATCACATGAGCGTACGGTACGGTCTTATTTTTATTTCTCTATGGGTACGGTCAGTTAGTTCGCTTGAATTAGAATCCATTTTAGTTCTTTCATTCTTGTATTTTCTTTATCAACTTGCTTAGTTTTTACAGTTTACAGTATTCTTATTTATTTTGAAAACATTGAAATTATTTAGTTTACGTGTATGTTAAGTAATATATTATTAGTTTAGTGGTATAAGTTAAAAGTTCTTTAGTTTACGCGTATTTTTAAGTATTACATTAGGTTAGTGATATAAGTTATAAGAGACAAGATAAAAAATGAGTCCCAGTAAACGTCCTATGTCAAGGAAAAGGAGAGCAATTGCACTGCTTTAGTATTTATTATTTATATTACAACCGTTTTTAAAAGCTTTTATTTAACTTCATGCAACTTTTCTAATATGGAGATTATCAAAGAAAAAATGGACGGATTGATAAGTACATTGACTTTTAAATGTCAAATGTGGAATATTGAGAAGGAGATAGCAACATAGGATTCTGGTAACAATTCACTGAACTTGAATGGTTCTGGTTATGCAGACATACAGCAGCAGCACGCTGCATTAAATATACCTGTGATTTCCTACAGGCAGTATGCAAAACATACGGAAACAGTTGCAGATATCATCGGCCAAACACTTTGTGATTCCTTAGAAGAGGCTGGACGGGAGGAATTAGCTTTAGCCAAAGAAATTGGTGAAGTACATTCCGACGGAAATGAGTTAATAACCGTTACAGCTGATGGTGCTTGGTCAAAAAGATCGTATAAAGTAAACTACGATGCTTCTTCAGGTGTAGTACCTGACGTTGTAAAATTTATTAAATTAGTACGCCTTTGATGGATAGGACATGTAATTAGGCGAGATGAAGATGAAACGATCAGAAAAATTTTCGACCGAAGAGGACCAGTGGGAAGACGATCCAGAGGAAGACCAAAACTTAGGTATCAAGATAACATAGAGGATGATCTAAAATCCATCAGAGTTAAAGCATGGAGAAAGTTGCCAGAGGCAGGGGCGAATGGAAGATTGTTCTGAAGAAGCCTTTGGCTCATGACGAGCTGAAATGCCACTGATAGTGATGAAATAACTATCCACGATTTGTGTTTTATTCATCAATTGGATACTTTTCTTATGTAACTGCAACCTATAAATATATTAAAATAATGTATATTCCATTCAGAGAACTTTTTCCTCGCAGTGCGTCGCCTCGAAATACTTGCCAGATAAATACATTTACTATTATGATGGTTTCGCGGGTACCAATTTTTTATAGATAAATAAAAATATTTTTTGTTTAATTTTTATTACGCTAATATCAGTTTTCTCTAACAAATATTAACAAAATATTAATTATATATTAATATTAATATAACAAAATTTAAATTTATTATAAATAAACACCATGGTGTTTTTTGCAGTCACGCTTCACAAATTTTTATTTAATACTATGTTTAGCTAAGACATATAAATTAAAAATGTGATTATTTCTTTTTAAAACATTATCTACGATAATTAATCTAAAAAAAAGTATTCCGACAAAACTAATTTGAATGGAGAAAAATGCATTTATTTTAAACAACCCGTGGGCCGGCGCCACTGAATAAACATCCAAACTATTAGAACGCTATTAGGAAGTCACGTAGGGTCTGACATAGCAGTGTAGAAAAGTAAGTGATACGCCCACTTCAAATCGCAGTATGCTATAACTGCGAAAACAGCCTTAAGTAAAAACTTGAGGAATACGTTCATATTCTTCACGAATCATGTTTTGAAGTTCTGCAAGACTTTGTGGTTCACCTGGTTGACTTCCCGACGACCCCGGCGACCGTATATTTTGGAGTCATCTTTCTAATAATTGTGGCACATTATACGGATAAAATATCTTATTGTCCATTTGATTGGAAGTAACTGTGCCGTTGCTACGATTGATTTCATTATTAGCGGAATTGTTTGTGTTAAAATTATAGTTTACATAATCTTTTTATTTAAGAAGCAGGACCTCATCTGTCAATATAAATATAATAACTGTTGCTATAAGAAAACGTGAAGTTTTTTAATAAGAAACCGCGATAGGATTGCTTAAGAGAATGTAGAAGAATTTTTTTAATACATCATAAAGTTATTTTGGTAAAAGTGCGTAGAAAGGACACGGTGGAATAAAATATTAAATTTTACACGACCGTTAATGATTTAGAATTTACATAAGTCTCTACTCGGACTATTATAGTATAATTATTCATTTACCAGAATATAAATGTTAATTACTATATTCATTTTGTAACTTTACATTTTACATACAACATTGTACTTTCTTCACACTTTTGCGTTAGAATGCCTTATTATGTTTAGTTTATGGAAATAAAGTACTTAATTTTACATTGAATATTAATTTGATGTTAGTACATAGTTTTAATTTTAGTTAATAAGAGGCGCCATGTCATGCGTATAGAGCAATATTGTCAAAATATGGCGTATCGGATCGGATTTAAATTACATTAAAAATGAATTCAAGAATTAATAACTATTTTATATATTATTTAAAATATACAAACTATTCATAACATACTTCATTCTGTGAATTTTCTATTTTTTATTAAAAAAAAAAAAGATTTGTGTTACATATAATTTCTCTATTATTCACATATTGAAATTTAAAATTGAATCTAAACAAAATTGAAATTCGTTGCTGATATTTGTTAGACCATAAATATTAATTTGTTCTTCTATTTTTAGAGTGGGGAAGCTCTCCCCTCATCCCTGGAATGTCCTCTCTGTTTCGCAGAATTAACACCAGAAGAGTTTTGCGAATTGGAGGCTTGCGGCCATAGAGCGTGTGTACCATGCTTCCAGCAGTATCTTCGCGTTGAAATCACAGAGTCTCGAATATGTATATCCTGTCCTCAATGCTTGGAACCGATGCATCCTAATGGTAAGAAAGTAATATATTAATGTCTTAATTAGATTGAAACTGTTGGTCTCAACAAAATCTTCAATTTTGTCAAAGTCTTAAAAAAATTTCTTCTATAAGTGCTTTGTCCTCTAAGAACTTTGGCTGATCTTCACGTTGTTGACAGTTTAGGTCGCAGTGGACATAAATAGTGTTGTAATACTGACTCCGTACCACTGGCGAAGGTTCTTGAGTTAGGATGTTCTTCGTCGTCCAAGACCATGTTTCCTTTCTATTTTGTCCCGATTAATTACATTTAGTACTCCATATTTCGGATTTATCATCACGTGGGAAATGTACTCAAATTTTCTTTATTTGCATGTCTGCTACAGCCGATAAAAAGTGTCTTTAAATCATCTGTACTAATCTGTGCCAAGAAATGAACAGATTGAATATAGATATTTTAGGTCTGAGTGAAGTTAGATGGCCTAACTCAGGAACAACAAAAATTATGAACAAAACACTCTTTTATTCAGGCAACAATGATCCAAAACATTTCAATGGAGTAGGTGTAATAATAAACGATGAATTGAGTAACGCAGTTTCAAACTTTATACCACTCTCTGACAGAGCAATGCTGTTGCAAATAAGGAGTTCTCCTTTTAATGTGAATATTATTCAGGTCTATGCACCAACCGCAGATAAGCCAGATGACATACTAGAAGAATGGTATGAAGATCTACAAAAGCTCATGAAATTGACAAAGAAAGAAGATATTAACATCGTCCTAGGAGATTTTAACGCTAAAATAGGAAGAGGGAAATTCCAAAATATCGTAGGAGAATACGGACTAGGAGAACGAAATGAAAGAGGAGACAGACTATTAGAGTTTTGCCAGCAACACAATATGATAGCAACAAACACTTGGTTTAAGTTACCTCAACGTAGGTTATACACCTGGACTTCCCCGCTACACACAAAAGAAAGAATAATAAGAAATCAAATAGATTATGTTTTAATCAACCAACGATTTCGTAACTCCATTACAAGTACAAAAACATATCCTAGTGCTGATGCAAATTCCGACCACAACCCTGTAGTAGCAAATATTCGCACAAGAATTAAAGTAATAAAAAATGCAAAGCCGAAGAACAAACCTAATATGGAACTACTAAAAGATGTACAGATTAAAGATAAAACCACTGTAAAACTAAATGAAAAACTCTCAGAAATAGACCGAACCCAAATAAATATCCAAAATATAAATACAACTTGGCAACAAATAAAATCCATCCTCGTCAATTCTGCAAGGGAAGAAATTCCAAATACACGATTAATGGCAAAAAAAGACTGGATGACACCAGCTATTCTAAAGATGATAGACGAAAGGAGGAAATACAAAAATAAGAACACAATCGATTACAAACGATTAAATACAGAAATACGAAGGAAAATAAAAGAATCAAAAGAGAAATGGCTCGAAGAAAAATGTAAAGAAATAGAAGAATTAGAACATAGACATGATTACTTTAATATGTACAAGAAGGTGAAAGAATTTTCATTCATCCACAAAAAACAACATTGCCCACTGGTAAATAACAACGGAGAGTTAATTCATAACACCAAAGATAAAATAGAAGAATGGGAAAAATTTATACAACAGCTGTTCCGAGATGAAAGAATAGACATTACAATAAATAATGTTACTGAAAGCCCACCAATTCTAAAAGTCGAAGTGGAATATGCCATTAAACAATTAAAGACCAACAAAAGCCCTGGACCTGATGAAGTTTATCCTGAAATACTTAAATTGATCGAAAGTAATAACATTGATTTGTTAGTAATTTTGTTTAATACAATCTACGATACTGGGGAAATACCAGAGGAATGGTTAGAATCTATTTTTATTCCCATTCCAAAACAAGCTAACTCCAGGCGATGCGCAGATTTTAGATTAATAAGTCTTATGAGCCAAGTGCTTAAAATTCTATTAAAAATACTTCACAATAGGGTATACAAAAGGTGTGAAAAAGAAGTTGGATACGATCAATTTGGATTCAGAGCCGGAATGGGGACCAGAGAGGCCTTGTTTTCACTACAAGTACTGCTGCAGAAGTGTTACGACCAACAAAAGGATGTCTTTCTATGTTTTGTAGACTTTGAAAAGGCATTTGATCGCGTAAACCATAATAAAATGTTAAATTCCTTGCAGAGCATCAACTTGGATAGTAAAGATCTCCGATTAATTAAGAACTTATATTGGAGGCAGAGTGCCAAGATTAGGATCGACGATCATACATCTAGAAATATTAGTATAAATAAAGGAGTAAGGCAAGGATGCATACTATCCCCTATGCTGTTCAATCTTTACTCGGAACTACTATTCAAGCAAGCCTTGGAAAACCTTTCCACAGGAATAAAAATTAATGGAGAACCAATATCTAGCATAAGATATGCAGATGACACTGTCCTACTGGCTGATACATACACAAACTTACAGGGGGTTATAGACCACCTTAAGGATGCTTGTCGAGAGTTTGAATACAGAATATCCCCTTACCTATAAAAATAAATGGGAATATTTTAGAACAGGTAAACCAATACAAATACCTTGGCTGTTGGATTAATTGCAAGCTGGACCCAGAACAAGAAATTAAAGCGAGAATTGCTCAAGCTAGGGATAGTTTCTTTAAGATGCGCGTTCTATTCTGCGATACACATATAAATATTAAATTGAGATTAAAACTTGTAAAATGTTTTATCTGGTCTGTTCTTCTCTACGGAGTCGAAACGTGGACTTTAAAAATAAAGAGCCTGAATAGAATCGAGGCATTTGAAATGTGGGTGTACCGTAGAATTTTAAAAATTCCTTGGACAGCACGAAAAACAAATGAAGAAGTACTAGCTAGACTCAATTTAGAAAAAGAACTATTAAGAACAGTCAAAAGAAGAAAAACCAGTTATTTAGGGCATTTGTTGCGCAACGAGAAATACTACATCCCTCAGTTGATAATAAAAGGCAAAATAGAAGGAAAGCGAGGAATTGGAAGAAAAAAATTGTCCTGGTTACGTAATATCAGAAACTGGACAGGACTTGGATTTGAAGAACTCTTAAGAGCAGCTGAAGATAGACAAACGTTTGCCACCATAACCGATGACCTCCATTGATGGAGACGGCACTTGAAGAAGAAGTACTAATCTGTATTAGTTGTTATCAACTTTTATAAAAATTGTTCTTAAAAAAACAGAATAGATCTCAGTGTATTGGCTCTGAGTTGTAAATGGTTATTTTAATGAATAACCATTTTTTGTTAAAGCCTTTGTTAGCAAGTTTTTTCTTCCTGAAATGCGTTTCCATTGGAGCAGGTGATGTAGGTCTATCATATATAATAATTTGAGAATTTTTGGTGTTTATGTTGAGTGATAATTTAAATATCTGTTGATGCGGTTTGGTTTTCTGTTGACTTTGGTTGCATATCCTGTATGATTTGTGATTAACACGTCCAAAAAAGGTAGTGAGTTGTTGTTTTCTTTTTCCATGGTGAATTTGATTGATTCTTTTTTACTGTTTAAGTTTATCAATAATTTATTTAGTGCTTCTTGTCCATGAATCCAAATGAAGACCACATCATCCACATATCTCCAGCATATTGTGATTTTTTTTGGTCGCGGTTGTACATAATGTTTTGCTCAAATTCCTCCTTGAAGATATCTGCTAATAATAGAGATGATTTGCCAATGAAGACATAATGAAGAGTCCATGGCTAATCCAAAATCTTGTTCATAAGTATCATTATCTGTTATCAATTACTTAAACCACAAACCGAGAATCCCAACAGTGTAGAGTCTCTCGACGTTAATAAGAATTGCGAGTAAATAAGATGGAATTATCGAGAGTGTATAAAAAATTCTATGGAAGCAAATAAAAGTATTGTATTATTTAACATACTATTCTCCTAATTAAATCTTGATTACAATAAACCTACAACGACCTCAGATCTTTCGAAAAAAATTTATATTATGTTTTGTAAATCAGGCTTGCATAGCTTCTATCACCTCTTAGTTTGAAGAAAATTTACGACCTTTTAGAATTTTTCACTTAAAGAAAAACATAATACTCGATTGCAACAAATTTTGAGAATAACGGATTTCGAGTAATTCAAACCTTAAATCACAAATTTTTTGTATGGTAATATACGATTTATGTGCAGGGGTATTGTCCTGCAAAATCAAAATAACTTTATACAACTTTCTGCCTTTTCTCTCTTCAAAATTATGTCATGAATTGCATCGATATTTACGGGAGTGGACAACGATACTGGCATTCCGAAACGATCTTCATCTTCGATGGAAAATTTACTTTTTTTGAAGTTTGCAATCCATTTTTCACGTGTTCGTGAATCAAAGTTTCATACGAAAAGCGATAATCGCCAAGTGTATTGAGCGTATGGTCGTAAATCTGCTCACCTCTTAACGGCTCCAAATATAGGTACTTCATGATAGCTCGCTACTCCCATTTATAAATTTTCACAATTTTTGGTCATACGTTTTTATTCAAAATTTATTACGCAACTCTGGTTTAACTTTTTGACGTTACACTTTACACTGACACTTATAAATTATTCTTCATTTATATGGTAATGCAGTATTTTCTTTATTCACGGAATAAGTATACAAGTTTACAAGTAAGTAAATCATGGTTGGTGTATTAATAGTTGTATAATGTATTAATTGCATAATGTAATGGTATTAATTTATACGTTCGTTGTTTTTTAGAAATTCGTGCTGTCTTGGACAATACTGCGCTCTTCGAGAAGTACGAAGATTTCATGGTACGCCGTGTGCTGGCTGTGGATCCCGACACGCGATGGTGCCCTGCCCCTGATTGCTGCTTCGCAGTCATAGCGAGCGAGTGTGCCAGCTGTCCCAAGCTGAAATGCGAGCGTCCTGGATGCGACTCATACTTTTGTTACCACTGCAAAGCTGAATGGCACCCTAACCAAACCTGTGACGCCGCCAGAGCTCAGAGATCACCCAATATCCGATCATCGTCGATTAGTTATAGTCAGGATTCGCAACATAGTAAGTATATGTATATTCAACCACATGTCAAAAAAGCTTCTTATAGAACCCAACTTGAAAAATTTAACTCTTAAGTGATCTCGTATATAACTTATGCTTTATCTATTGGCGATATCAACAAACTATAGGTGAATGATTGGTGTGTCTAAAAATTATCCGTATTTAGTATCTTCCATTTATTTTTTTGTTAACGCAATGGCAAATAAAGAAATTGAAGTTGATCTGCTCCATATTTTGAAATATATAGGAGACACAAAAAGACCTTTAAAAGAAGGCGATGCCTTGTTAAAGGCTGGCCACGTTGTGTTCTGTGGCAAATATAATAACAAATTAGTCGGTTTGTGTCTGCAAACGACTAATTTAAATGGTGCCTCACATGAAATCACTGTGTATGTGTTAAGAGACAAATGGGTGGTAAAATGCACTTGTAAAGCCCGCCAGGGAGGAATGTGCGTGTGTTATATTACGCATTAGTCTAGCATTCACCAGTTCCTCATTGATTTTTCTTTCGTGTTTTCCTTTAAGAAGGCATTGAGAGAGAATAACACCTTTCTTTAAAAGTTTCTTTTGCCCTGCTGCAGTTGTAATAGAAATTTTAATTAAGATCTATGTTAGTGTATATATTTAATTAAGTTAGGTAGGCACATTATGTATAATAAATGTTGCAATTCTGTTCAGCAAATTTACTTGAAAAAAAATCTGTTAATAAAAAATGTTGTGAACACACGATCATATCACTTGATATCGATTTCCCAATTTTTAATTCCTGTGCACAACGATCTTGTAGATTTTTGTCACGAGGAAAAAGTGCATAGTTATTCCTTCCGATCTATAATTACTGCATTGCCGTGCAGAACAATACTGTTTACATTTACTTTTTAACATTTTGTTACCTTAGTGTGCTTTATTTAATAATATTTAAAATGTTTATAACTATGTTATGTGTGTATAACTAAATACAAAATGTGTTGTTATCCTACGTGCACTAGTTCAAATTTTTACCGCACCGTGCCGCCTCTTTCGATTGACATCGCCAATAGAAATATCTTCCATGTATTAGATATATTATATTAAAATTGGGATACTTTCTTTTTGCAAACATACAGGATCTTGCACTAATATTAGTTTATATAACTTTTGCAAGAAATAGTCATCTTCTTCCCTTGCCAAATTCGCATTCAACGTTGGTGATTATTCTAACCCACATAAGTTTGTTTACAGCGGTTCTAATCATTTCTAAGGATGTTTTACTCGTCCACTGTCTCAGATTTTTCAGCCAAGACATTCGTCATCTACCCGGCCCTCTGCTTCCTTTTAATTTACCCTGCCATAATAACTTCTAGAATTTCGTATTTATAATATCTTACCAAATGACCAAAATATAAGAGATTTCTATGTTTTACTGTGCAGATCAGCACATAGTGATGCTTTCTACACATGTGATGACCTCTATATATCATATGAGGACATCAGAAAGGGAGTCCGGGTATATACGTCTGGTTTCACCCTCTTCAACTTGAGTATGTATGCTACGAAATACAAACGAAATATGCACGTGGACTCTAGTAAAATGTATACAGCAACACAGTTGCGAATAACTACAAAGGTAATTAAACAAAGTGACAATTAGCGGTATTTTATGTTTTTTAATATTGTCGTCCGATCTGTTTATCAGTATGCGTGAGGACATTTATGATTATGAATTGTTTTACTACAATCAAAACTTACATTTTCGGCCTTACAAATATCTATTATATTTAAGTATTTATAATTCAGTGGTTCAATTCATTCAATATCAAATCGGCCAAAAGGGGTGAAACGGACAATAGCTCGAATACTTATAAATTGTAGTATAGTTGGATGGGTATTATACGATAGTTTGTAATTCTTATATCTTCTCTTGTTATTGTTTTGATCTCAATCTTTTGTATAAGTGTATAGATTCCTCAACTTTATTTCTTGACAGAAACTTAAACTTTATTACTTGAAAGAAAGAGTAGCTGAATCAATTACAAAACCAACAACAAATGACATAAAGGGTTAAAGAGTATGATAAAGGGGCTCAAATAAAAAATCAGCACCATGCTAAACTTACTCATAACACTTGTTACCTCATACGAATAAAAACTGTTTCAATACAATACATGAAAACGAAGGTTCGGAAAACAATGGTAATTAACAAGGTCACCTCATAGCAGACCTTAAGAAAGCATAAAAAGAACTAAAAAATTGATAATGGTAGAAACAAAAGCAATTTCTCAGGAATTCTTACAAAAACTATATGCAACCCAAGTCACTAACTACTCATAATGGAATGCTGCAAGGACCATACGAAAGCTGAACTATACAATCCCACCAGAAAAGCAGAAACAGGAAAATGTTTGAAAAACTTTAAAAAAGTTTTTGATAAATGATGGAAAATACTAACTACAAACTGAAGAAGACATTATTTCAGTACCTTATCAACTAGAACTTCATGAAAAAAGATTCGCAAAAAGAAGTAAAAAATATAGAAGTTAAAGGCTATTCCAATTTCTGACACAATTATTTAACTCTATAATGAGATTAGGTAATTTCCCATCACAATGGAAATTATATCATCAGTTGGCGCTACAGCCCTTCGTGAGCCTTGGCCTGCTTCAAAACATTCTTCCATCCTTCCCTATCGAGTGTCTGTCTTCTCCAGCCCCTCACTCCAATCTCCCTCAGATCTTCCTGTACATCGTACAATGGAAATTAGCACAGATAAAAATGATACTATAGCCAGGACAAAAACCAGAAAATTATTAGTATTCTCCCAGTGGTTTTTAAAGTTTTTGAAAGGCTGACACTTACTAAGCTAAAACCTATACTAGAAAACAAAAAACTAATACCCTAATCACACTAATTTAGATTCATAAAACAACATTCAACAATACAACCGCTGCATAGAGTTGTAGAGAGAATCAATGAAGAATTTGAAGATAATAGGTACTGCTTAACGGTATTCCTGGGCATAAGCCAGGCATTTAATAATGTCTGGCTCTGTCATTTAACAAAGGTCTCTTTAATAAAAGAGACTCTAAAGATATCTCTCTAAAGATATATAATCTTAAAGTCCTATATCACCAACAGATACTTTCAGGTAAAGTATGAAAATGAATAAAAGTATGCCCAACAAAGTCTCGCATGGTTGCCCAAGAAAGAGTCTTAGAACCCATATGATACCTTATATTCACTGCTGACTTACTGACATATACAAATATCATCACAGCTACATTTGCGGATGATTCGGCAATACTATTATCTAACAAAAATCCAAAATAGCCTTAGAATTCCTACAAAATAACTTAAATAAAATACAACAATGGGTGACAAAATGGAGTGTTAAAATAAATAAAAACAAATCACTACATTTAACATTTACCACGCGTAAGGAAACATGTCCGACTTGCATACTTGAAACGGTGAAGGAATCCTACAAGGGGTGAAGTCAAATATCTAAGTATGTACTTGTACAAAAGGTTAAACTGGAGGAAGTATATTTACTAAGCGAAAACAAATGGGTCATAATTGAGTAACATGTATTGACTGTTGGCAGAAAATCAAACTACCATCTGAAAATAAAGTATTAATCATCTTGAAACCAATTTGGACTTATGGACTAGAATTATGGCGAACCCCCGCATATTCTAATATTCAAATAACTTAATTAATTTTGAGAACGATTTCCGAAGTGGAAATTGAAAACGTCAATAAACTAACTTTAACCTTTAATTGTGGCTTATTCCCATTTAAATATTAATTACTTTTAAATGTCACAAGAAAATAGCTTCAGAACAATATCAAATAACTTTAACATTACAATCAAGATTGAAGAGATTGAAGACAAGTTTAAAAAAAGGGGTACATCGCTGAAATCTTCTCAACTTATAAAACTTATCATAAAACTCGAATTGTCAGTTCTATTACTTATTGTCTATTATCTATTTAAACGTTTAGATTGTTATTGTAATAAAAGTGGGGTTAATAAAAAACCTACTGACCTATTTACATATGACGAATGTAAATCAATGTATTCCAAAGCTTTGGTGCAACTTAAAAAATCGAACAAAATGTATTAAGTATCACCACTGCGAATAAGAAAACATTTATATTTTCAGTGTTCTCACTATATTTATGATTTCCTTGTTTGTTTTAGGAGATGATATAAAACCATGTCCTCGTTGTCAAGTGTTGATAGTTAAAATGGACGATGGTTCATGTAATCACATGATGTGCGCAGTGTGTGGCGCAGAGTTTTGTTGGCTGTGTATGAAGGAGATCAACGATCTTCACTTCCTTAGGTAGGTATCAAAAAACAAGTGAAAAACAAAATTAGTATTCTGTAGTCATAGACATATAATACAAGATAGACTGATCGTTGCAGTAGCAGCCTGTTCCCCCAGTGCGACAAAGAAAACTGACGCAAGGCAGTTACTGCATCTCTTTCTAATTTGTCAGGTTTATCAACCACGTGACCTAAAACACCAATAAGAAGGTCACGTGGTCGATAAACCCGGCCCATTAGACAGAGATGCCGGGACTGCTTTGCGTCGCATCGAGAAACGGGACTTTATTGCAGCTGTCAGTCTATCTTATATTATATGTCTATGACTGTAGTATGCTCTAGTTTTTAGGTTATGCTAGTTCTAAACAGCTTACAGAAATGTTGTTAGTTTTCGTTTACTGTCCATAAATAATATAAAACAAAATGGGAGCAAAGATTTTTTATTGTTTTTAGAATTGGTTATTTTTGTTTTTATATCATCCTTCCCACCATATAATGATGTCAAGAAAGAGCCGTAATATTTTATTCCAATAAAACACTCAAAAATATTACAAATGCGTTAAAAATAGCTTAAAATACTTGGCAATGGTACTAGCCTTAGGCTCGTCAGTTTGTTTTGAATTAAGGGCTGTAACTAATATTATAAAGCCACCTTTCTTCTAACGTGGCTTATATATTTAGTAATTACTTCGCACGAGTAGAACATATCAAATGCTCTGCTGATATCAGATAGCTTCATCATCATTTGTCGATGAAGAAAATGAGATATTGATAAATGCTGTAAATAAAAAAAAATAAAGTAAACCAATTATTTCTATATGGACCAACGAAAGACAACATCTTCCATATGTTATTGGCATGCATGATGGTGGAACTAACAAAAAATCCACGAAACTACGAACACAATTAAAAACGGAACCTAATAAAAAATAGGCCCATGTATGATGTATATTCAATAGAAGCCGTTTACCAGTAACCAATCTTGATAGATTTATTTATTAGTCAATGTTATAAGATTATTTCTACAGTGTAGGTAAAATTTTATGGTCGGTATGGTAAAACTTAACAGGATATCTAACACAGATATAAAATCATATTTTCAGCGAATAGACAAAGATAACAATCATATTCCCCCTTGGTCTCCCCTCCATAAATCTTCTTGACGCCCATTTTGCCTGTTAGTGAGACGATTAGTTCCGATCAGAGATATTTTACATATTCTGTGGTTCCGATCCTCATAAAGCTAAGAAACTAGAGGTGGGTCCTTTAGTTTTTTAAATTTTTATCGGAACCGTTTTTCGTAAACTGTAACTAGTTGATTGTTTACCAGTATTCAAATTAGCGAGTACACAAACATATTGGCTATTATCGTTTATGTGTAAAGTATTAAAGTGAAAGAAACTAACGAAGAATATATTTATTATAACTTGAAAAATAAATTAAACAATACAAATAGTACTTACATTTACATGGACTTAAGTCATCTTTATCAGTTTCTTTTTCTTGTACTAGTCAATTTTCAATAGTATAATCTTCTTTTTCTTTTTTTTTATAGAAGTAACCAGCTTCAACCATCAACTAGTTGATTTTAACGAATTTAACCGAAAATTTAGAGTTTAACACGGTTTAATTAGACTGCTGCCATTTTTCTGGAAACCATAATTCAGAAAACATCGCTTTTAAAATTAGTGAAATTATTATTCAGTGGGGTCTAAAACAAAAAGTAAATTTTGCAGTAACTGATAATGCCTCAAATATGGTCATAGCTATTAAATATGTTTTGGAATGAAAACATTTAAATTGTTTTGCTCATACGTTAAATTTATTGATGGAGGACGCACTTAAATGCTGTCGTGTACAAATAGATAAATAAAAGTCTTTTTTTCGACAATTCGGCAAAAAACACATTTAAAAAAGTACCTTATCTTCAGAAACGCTTTTAAAGTATCAATTACAACATAACAAAGATCCCAAACGGCCAATCCAAGACGTGGAAACTAGGTAGAACTTCACCTATTACATGTTAGAAAGAATGACGGAGTTAGAAGAGGCAATCCGTTCCACATTGGTATCAGTTAATACAGACTTAGACTTAGACCAAATCTAAATAATGAAGACTGGATTATTTTTTCGTAATTGTCCTAAATTTTACGGCCTTTTAAAGAAATAACAAGTACAATGAGTGGCCAAAAATACTTGAATGATAGTTCAGTGATTGTTCTGGTACGCTGCCTGCAAAAATCTTGCAATAAAATTTTAGCAAACAGTAACCTTACATCCATAGTTAGTATCCGACGTAGTACGGGTTTTTATTACTAATTACGGGATAATTACTAATCTCGGGTTTAGCAAAAAGATTTAGAGGGATAGAATACAGTGGCATATTGTCATTATGTACGTTTATGGATTCACGATTTAAAGTGCAGGGATTTTCTGATAAAAATGACGCTAAAAAAACAAAAGAAAGAGTTAAGAAGCTGGTTACTTCTATAATTAAAGAACAAGAAGATTGTACTATTGAAAATCAACCAGTATAAGAAAAAGAAACCGATAAAGATGACTTAAGTCCATGGTGTATTTTTGATCAATTAATTGGACATGACTCATCTAAACGTACACCTGTAGCGAGAGTCCATTACAATGGTGGAAAAACCATCGCCATGTATCTCCTAACTTAACCACTATATTCATAAAGTATTGTAAATGTGAACACATGTTCAAAATCAGGTTTAATTTTAAATAAAAGAAAAACACAATTAATAAGAAGTAAAGTAAAAAAACTTATGTTTTTAAATGTCAATTTAGACGATTCGTGATTTAATAATAACGTGTAATGTAAACGTAGGTACGATTTACTATTTGTATTGTTTAGTTTAGTTTTCAAGTTATAATAAAATCTTTTATTAGTTTCCTTCACTTCAATAAATATACAGATAAACGATAATAGCCATTATGTTTGTTTATGTAGGTAGTTTCTTACTTGAAACTACTATTAAAAAATCATAGTTACTTGTTTACGAAAATCGGTTTTGCGACGTCAATGACCCACCTCTATTCGTAAATACCTGTTTACGCTTTGATTCGGTGATTTGACCACGCGACACGCCACGTTGGCAAATAGTTTTGTACGAAGCTTTTTTATTTATATGCAGTTTAATATTTTTATTGGAAATAAGGCATAATGTCACTTTAAAATAAGCTTATTTTGATGTTTAGATTTTTAATTCGGAAATCGTTTTTAAAATACCAAACATTAATAAATTTTATTTATATAAAACGATTTCCGAAGTATAAATCAAAATGTTATATTACACTTATTGTAAAGTAAAATTGTGGCATATTCCCAATAAAAAACAATAAGCTGCCATTTAAATCCATTTCGCCCAAATTTCATTATCTTGGAGCATTGTTCAAATGCGAAAAAGACAACAGGTCAAATAAAACCAATAAGTTTGGCAACGTTGAATTTCCCCTTTTTATTATATCCACTCCATATCCACTCATTTATGTTCGGTGATATAAAAGGCGGACACCTAATATATCTCTCTCTTTTTAAACAGTTGTTTCTCACTCCATCTCATGTAAGGTCCATACCGACCATAAACTTTTACCTATACTGTATATAACCATACATTTTTTTGATTTTTTGATCGTTTTTTTCTTTTATTTCAGTCCGTCTGGTTGTACTTTTTGGGGGAAGAAACCCTGGTCAAGAAAGAAAAAAATTCTGTGGCAATTGGGTACGTTAGTGGGGGCACCTGTAGGTATTGCTCTAGTGGCAGGAATCACAGTTCCAGCTATGGTTATAGGTGAGTATACCCAAATCAATTTTTTATGCGTAATTACTTTCTTGTATGTCTCAACATAAAAGTTCAATATACATTTACAAGTCGAAGAAGTGAACATGTACGGCTTAACGTTGAACTGAATGCTATTATATCAAAAGGAACATATAGAGCAACTTTTGTATATGTAACAGTACCACGTTAGCAAAGTCGAAAACAATCCATCGAATTATCTACTTTATTTCGATCTATTTTGTAATTCAGTTAACAAAACACATTATTGATTAAGAATGGTATTATTAGTTGAGGAACGAGTATTTATCGTCAAACATTATTATTTCAGTTTATAATATTCATAACATCACAGCAGTAACCCAAAGCAATGAGTGGGACATATTATTCTGTGCAGTTTTTCAAGATACGTACATCTCATACATTAATTTCTTGAAGTATTTAAGAACACTATATTTAAAAATATTGAAGGCAACATAAATGGGAATATAACGCATCAATAATTGACATCAACAAGAAATTTAAAAAGACTAGAAAAAAACTATAATATAAATCCCAATAGCAGGTTACCTGGTTCCTTTTATATACTTTTTTAATTATGAGGTTATGTTCGACTGTTTTGCTTGTTTCACTTTTCCGTTTTAATAGGATCTCAATATCAATTTCCTGATCTTTTTGTGGTTTACTAATCCAATACATATAAACAAATTTTTATTGGTCAAACATTTTTGGTTACATTTAAAAGAAAAGAAAATTGAAATATTTTTATCATAATTTGTAGGCATTCCAGTTTGGGTTGGCAGGAAACTGTTCACTAGGTATAAATCGTCAGGAAAACACAAACGAAATGCTGCCATCGTTGGAGGAGTAGTAGCATCGGTAAGTCTTTGTATCTTTGTTATTTTACTAAAACCTATATTAATGATATTGAGAATGAACTCACTTACTACGTCAAAATTTCTGTGCCATCTCTTGGTTAATAGATCAAGCTTATAAAGAACAGCGAATTATTGATTCTGAACGATATTGAGAATTTTATGAAAATATCAATATCCACCTATTACATGAAAATTGCAGTGCCATCTCTTGGCCAATAGATAAAGTTTATACATGACAGCGAATTAATGATTCTAAAGGTATCTAAAGATTTCTGTATAAATAAGGTCTGTATATCGATCTGTTTTAGCTGCAGACGTTTTAAAATAATTTCAGATATTTTAATA